CAAAGCCTCTGGGAAAAGACTTTACACAGTGTATCTAATGAGGGCAGAGACATGAAGAAATGCTCCTTGCCAGTTTGACTCCATTCATAGAGCACACTAGTTAGCAGCTGGAGCTCTGGATGTCCTCCAGCCTGATTTGTTGAGCCAATGGTCTCTTCTGCAGTGGGCAGCTCCCCCATCCTATGGAGAGAAGACATCATCTCTGCAACAGCGAGCTTGGTGATAGTGTGTGACTTGGCTCTTCAAGAGGAAAGAATTAAAATCAAGCCCAGGGGATAGGGCAGAGAGTCTGTTATTGGAGCTGTGTTGGCAGGAGTGCTCTATGATCTAAAGACTAGCAGAGAGAGCAGTGATTTGGTTATTTCCTTCAGTCTCTTAACATGCTCCTTGCACACTAGCAATCTTCTGTAGCTCTCATCCCCCTTTCTGTTTCTTTCCTTCTTTCTGGAAGAAAAGTTTGCCAGTTGGTTCACTGGGGAAAATGAAATATTCCTATTGGTTTATATGCAGATGGTGCTTTGAGAGGAGATACTGATAATTTATGTACTGGTTTATAATCTGCACCCATCCTTGGTAAAGGTGTCTTGTTCAAAGTAGTGTGTCGTCATACATGGACATCAGAGCAACCACGGTAGGTTAGAACAAAGCTCTATTTAGCCTGGTATCCTGGCTCAGATGATGATTGTGTGTGATATCTAATGAAGAGCAGAAGAACATGGCAAGGATCTACAACACTGAGTACTCTATTTGCTGACACCAGATTTGTGTAGCAGCTCTTGGTGGATTTATTTTCTATATGTTCATACAGATCAAAAGAGAGGATGGGTTAATGTCTGTTTAGCAGTGGATTTACCTGGTGGAGTGAAATATCCAGCTTGTACTGGGGTGATAAATGGAATATTTTGCAGTGTGTTGGCTGCTCAGAGGTAAGAGTTCCCAGGAACTCATGCTTTGAGAAGTCCTAGGGTGAGAAGGTCTGCTAGTATCTCACTATCTGCCTCTCCATCCCAGACCTCCCAGCAGCTTACCAATATAATGAAGTTTTTTAGTTTCTTTCCTCTATGGAAAGTTAGGACATGGTTGACTGTCCCAGTGAGACTTCTACCTCTGCACAAAAGATGGACAAATGAAGTGAATAACACAACAATGGACTCAGAGTATCTCCCAGAATCTCAACTATCTCACCAGACACTTTGATATCTGAACCAAACCAACCAGGAAATCGGGGAAGTCTTGAATGAAAGCTGGAAGATTTTAAACAGTACTTCCCTCGGGGACCTGCATTAAAAGCTTCTAACTGATGCACTGTGAACTGCGAATAAGAGGAGGTTCTTCTCTGGGTTTGAATTTTGAGTCCTAGGGTATCTACTGCTTTTGGAAAGCAGCTGTGGCCTCGTGAGCATTCCTCCCTGCCTCTCTTCACCTCTGAGCTGTTCTCTGTCTCTACTGAAGATGGAAATGAGACAGAATGCTTCAAGCCCCTCTGTGTAGGGTTTACAGTATGATTTTGCAGGCAGTATGTGATGCAGGCATGAATCACAACTCCCTTTAAGATACTGCTGTATTTGATTCTCTGTCTCTTTCCATCTGACTCAGAATAGGCTGCAGATTTTTGTTTTTATTCTAAGCAATAGCCAATTCACTCCAGAGATGAAGATTTGCTGACTGTTGCTGCTGTTCCTATGCTCAGAATTGCAAACTCCTTGGAAAACGAGGCCAGCTCATGCATGTTTGTACAAACCTGGTTTCAAATCTGGCTTGGATTCTCTCTTCCAGCTCAGCAAGTGACTGACATGTTCATTTTAGCAGAGCTTCCTCTCAAGACAAGCCGTGGGCTGTGCCAAAGTGCCATGAGGCGTTTGCTGCGTGTTCAGTCGCACACTGGAGGCAGATTCTGCAGCGCCCTGGAGACAGGGGTGAGATGAGGACAGCAGCAGCCATGATTCAGAGCTGCTTTCCAGTTTGATCTTCCTAATACTGTAATTTTTATTTGCAGTGTACTAAGATGCAAATCAGATCCCGCTTCAAAACCAATTTGTGTTATGGAAGTTATTTGAAAGAAAGTAGTAAAGCAGTGCAGCTTCTGTCCAGTTCAAATGCAGGTACAGCTCAGGTTGTTCAGCCCATAATAGCTCACTAAAGGAACTCACACTGAAAAATATAGCACCTAAATACAGAAATGTCCATGGGATGGTCGTAATCCTGCAACACCTGGCATCAGCCAGCTCCTTTCTCTCTGGTGGAGTCTTCTCATCACTTCTGATTCCAGAGCTGTTCTGCAGCCTGTCTTTCTGCTCCTGGAGTTGGGTAGAGTGGGTTTTGGGGACTGTGGTTCTGTGCTAGGAACAAGAGTGGTTGGGGGACAGGGTAGGCTTGTGATCTGACAGTGCTCTGCACACATGAAGTGATCAGGTCTCCGTGCATTACCCTAATATGGTAATCAAGGATAGGGGGTTAAGTTTTTCTCTCTTGCTTGCTTATTTGTTGCTTGCATCCAACATAAACTTCAGTATGGAAGAAGAAAAAGCTATAGCTGGAAGTGGATTTCAGTTTAACTTTGTTGTTTGAAATACAAAGCCTGATGCAGACCAGCCTCTGCAGACTTTGATAATTGGCAAGAGCATTTCTAATTTGAAAAATCTCCCTTCCTATTAGTTACTTCTCTAAGCAAAGCAGCTGGCGTGACCTGGGCATGTTGTGCTTGTGTTGTTGCTGTGAGACAACAGCTCAGCCTGAGGAAAGAAGACAACCTACTTACCATATCCTCTGGGAGTTGTTACAGTGGGAATCGGTAGAAATCAGTGTTTCTCTGAGTCTGAGGAGTTCACCCATGAAATTTGGGAGATCAAAGAACTGAGCTGAGCGAGGGGTATGTGTCCTTTGGGTCTCTTCAGCAGATGAGGCTGGTGTTATGTGGGCTCCCAAATGCAGCCTCCACCGCTGTATCTTCTGCCCCAGTCAGAGCAGGGATATTCCTGCT